CAGGGCCCCGTTGATCATCTCGCCCTCGCTCGTGACGGCAAGATGAAAGACGTTCTGTACTACATCAACCAAGGCTACGTACGACCTGATGCTGCAACTTTCTCTGACTTAATCACCTTCTGCGCTGATCCGAAGCAGCTCGAAGATCTTAGAAAGATTCAGGACTTCTTCGTGCGGTCACAGTTTCGATCCGATATTGAACTCAACCACAAGCTCATTGAGATGTTTGCAAAATGTGGTAGCATGAGCGATGCCCGCCGGGTGTTTGATAGAATGCCCAACCGAAATATTGACTCCTGGCACCTCATGATGTATGTTTGCGCGGCAAATAATCAAGGGGATGATGGGTTGCAGTTGTTTGAGCAGATGAGGAAGTTGGGGATTCAGCCGAACTCGGAGACATTTTTAGCTGTTTTAGCTTCCTGTGCTTCCTCTGAGGCTATTGAAGAAGGGTTGATTCATTTGGATTCGATGAGTAAGGAGTATGGAATAACACCAGGAGTTGAGCATTATATTGGGATGATTGAGGTTTTAGGGAAATCGGGGCATTTGAATGAGGCTGTGGAATATATTGATAAATTGCCGTTTGAACCACCAGCAGATGTTTGGGAGTGTCTGATGAATTTGGCACGATCACATGGGATTGTTGAACTTGAAGACTGGGCTGAAGAGATTTTATTGTCTATGGACCCATCAAAGGCTCCTGCTAAGAAGAAGGTTCCTACTCCGAAGGCTGTGAGAAGGTTTGGGATTAATCACATGCTCGATGGGAAGAATAAGTTGGTGGAGTATAGGATTCCTCAGAGTATTGATAGGTCAATAATTCCTAAAGTGAAGGAACGAGGATATGTTCCTGATACTAGATATGTGCTGCATGATATTGATCAGGAGGCAAAGGAGCAGGCTTTGATGTATCATAGTGAAAGGTTGGCAATTGCTTACGGGCTGATTAGTACACCGGCCAGGACTCCGTTGAGGATTATTAAGAACCTTCGTGTCTGTGGAGATTGTCACAATGCGATCAAGATTATGTCAAAGATTGTTGGGAGGGAGCTTATTGTGAGAGATAATAAGAGGTTTCATCATTTCAAGGATGGGAAATGCTCATGTGGAGATTACTGGTGAAGATTCCATCCTTTGGTTATGGTATGTGGCTGAACCTATCCTTTCATTAGAGTTGTCATGTATAAATGGAAGATAATGGTTGCTTTGGAGATATAGGTCAAACTTATAAGAATTTGCAGCTGAGTTCACTTTATGTTATTGAATTTTGCTGCATAACTATGGTTTCTGGTTGTATTGAACTTCTGTTTTCCCACTTATTGTTGTCATTCAATATTACATATTGTTGGTACGGGGAAATTTAGGTAGGAGATGTTCTTTACAGGCAGTTAAGTTGATAGGTAGAAACTTTTTATCTGATCGCTGCTTAGGAAGGCTACATAAATTTTCTATTTTCTGGGGTATGTTGACAAATGAGTAACTCCTTAATTTGTTTGGCTCACATTTTCTTTTCTTTAGTTCTCTCGAAAGCATACCAGCTTCTTCATTCATTCCCCTCTCATTATGCACTTCAATATTGGGAGGTTCATTTTGCATGACTAGTTTATATTGTTAACCGTCTCCTTTGTTTCTCGTTAGAATCTTAATACCTGCATTATGGATAAAGTTCGGAGTTGAATTTGCCTATGAGAGGTTACAAAGGATGAGAATTATAGCAGGACATATTGGGGGAGTGTTTTCCTTATGGCTCTGCCTCCAACCTGTTTGGGTTTTACCTGTATGTACTGAAGCTTATCACCTTAATAAAACTTTGCCTGGTTTCATGAGAAGTTCAATTGTTGAAGTCCCTTCTATAGTTCTATTGCTCATTAACTTTTAAGTTGTGGTAGGGCTTGAGGGTTATTATTCTGTATCCTAAATGCTCCTGCCAGCTTTACGCCTTGTTCATGGACTGAAACTTGTACTCGTACAACTGTATATTTTCTGAATCCACTTTTATTAAATGCATGGTTGGTGGAATTTAAGCCTGGGTTCCTCTGGTAACATGCTAAATCCTTTCCGCCACACCAAAATTTTGAAGTTGTAGGAATTAAGGGCTATAATTTTATACTCTACTGTTAACAAGTATTTAGTTGTAAGAATTAAGGGTTATAACTTTATACTATGCTATTGATAAGTATATAGAGGTTTCTTGACAGAAAGACTTACCTTAATAACTTATTGCTGTAGCCTTTGTTTGTTAGTGAGAAGCTATGTCGCGTGGATATGGATATTGGTGCCAATACAAGTACGGGAAGCGGCGAATTTGTGAAAGGTAGGGCATGGGGACATGGCTATATAAATATTTATATACTCATATAGTATATGTTGGAATTAAGGACATAGAATTAAAATTCCTTTGACATTTTTATGATTCTTTTATTATGTGGATTATAAATTGGAAAATCCTAGTTTTTCAACTACACATCCAAATGACACTTCAAAATCATAATTTGGAACCTGATCTATGACAAGTCTTTTAAATTAAAACATGCATTGTATAATTGAGTATATATGCCCAACTAAATGTACGCATACACGCAAGGAGTGTCCAAAGTATTTGGGTACAAGTATGTGTCGGGTGTGGGTACTGCTTCAGACTAGGAAGTACCCAGGTAACACAAATGAGAAGGTTTAGGTTTTTCATAAGATGGCAAACGTAAATCCATAACCTATTCTAATCGAGCTAATGTGGATGACATGATGACGATGCTATGGGGCCAGTAATGATAGTAGTGGGGGTATTGTTAAGTTGTGGGAGTTTCAGGCTCATGCCTAGGCTAAAGGTTTTATTCATAAAGAGAAGGGAAGAAATAAGAACAGGAGAGCATTCACACTTAGGTTTCATGGGAAAAGCCAACAAAGAAGCATTTACTTGGGGGTTATTTTGTGCATGGATTAATTTTGATGCATATCGCGGATCTAAAAGAATCCTCATCCATAGTCTTGCTTGTTTACATGCATACCGAAGAGGATTTGATGAATGACACATTTAGGCAAGAAATTCTTATTTGGCTAAAAATGAATTTGTCGAGGATAATATGTGTATAATATAACTCATTTTTCTTCTTAGATAAGGCTCAGAAAAAAGCAAAGTGAAATCAACACATTTTTAGAAATTAGAATTGATGCATTAGTTCTACATGGCAACTCTAAATTTGTGATAAAAAATGCTAACTAAATTATGTATTTAGTTAAAAAAAAATTAAGATCTTGGTCTTGTAGGTCCCATTTTTTCAATGCGAAGGTGCGAAATTTGAGGAAACAAATCCACCCCATAGTGTCTTGGATTTAACTACTAAGTACTAAGATACGGATAAATTAGATATATGCTGTTTTAGAGGCTGATATATGCACGACCATAATTGGTACATACTGAAGTGGAAATTTAATAGTATCAAGGTAAAGTAAGTCTTATTATTGCCAAAGATGTTGATTTCATTACTGTGTTTGTGTGGCTTGTGCTTAACCGTTTGATGTTATTGGCTTAGAATACAGAAAAATACCTGTACTTCTACGGTAGCCTTTCCATTAGTTCATTGAGTTCTTAGAAGGTATGATTGATTTCTTATAGATTCCACCTTGGTATTTAAATTTAACGATGGCTTGGCTCACATGACCACTGAACTCTCTGGATTAGTCCAAACTGAGTTCAACTGGTAGCTGAATGCTAATATTTCGTTCTATAACTGGCGTACAAGAACCTCAAGCGGCGTCATACTCGAGTCATAAATGTGCTCATAACTTGCTATGACGTTTTGAAGAGTAGATGATGGTGTTATTTTCTTGCTCAATAAATAAAAAAATATGAAGGCAAGTAAGTAGATAAGACTTTATGATGGAAGCGAATGTGTGTTTAAGGTGTAGGTTTCTGCAAGTTCCGTAGTTTATGGAGTTACATTAACACACAATAGCTCAACTCACTAACTGGATGTGATTGAGCTAATTTTGATACACTAGGAGCTAAGGGCTTTAAGGAAAGAATCTCGTAGTTAAAAAGTAAAACTAAAGAACCCACCTTGGCACCTTGGTTGAAATTTTTCATGTGTTTCGATCTTCTGAAATCTACTGGATTATCAAGCCCTTGAAGTTTCCATCTAAACCCATATAAGAAATTAATTATTTATATTTCTCCAATTAAACTCTTGTAACTAAATTTGTATGCAAACAGAGTAAAAGTCTGAGTAATTGTTGCAGGCAGCAGATGCTATACTTGAATACTTCTGATAGAACAAATCAAGCGATAGCCTCTAATTGGTCTCGGTATTTGGGCTGCATCTTGTTCTTATATGTCATTTACATATGGCTTCCCAAGCTTTTTTCTGTCTTTGTATAATTGTATAATTTGATGGGTGGAACAATCTTTCTTTTTTTTAATAGTGATTCCCGGTGTTGTTTTGACGTTTTGTATTTGAAGTCTATGCGCTAGGAGATTGTGAGGAAGGACTTAATATTGATTTCCTATGCCTTGTTTTCCCTATGGATTATTTAGTAAGCAGATGTGGAAGCCATCAAGGTAGTTTACATGGTGTTTATACTTTTGAGTTGGGGTGCAAAAAATATTCGTATATGAAGATTTATCCGTATCCCTATGTTAGATACGGATATGGAGCTGAATATCAATATCCGAAAGGATATATTTATGAATGTGTATATATACTGAAATATCAGGATTCGGCTAAATTGAAATGTTAAATTGGTATTGAAAGATAACTCTATATTCATGATCAGATGAGATTTACAAGATATATATACATAGTCAGTAGTAATCAGTAGCCCAGTGGTAGGTATATTAGGAGACGTCAGAGGTGGCTGAGGCGGGCTAGGAGGCGATAGGGTGGCTGCAGTGGCCAGTGTTGTCTAACACCCCCTTCAAACTCACGGTGGATCGAACACCGAAAGTTTGGACAAGAAATAACGAAACGCAAATATAGTTTGAGCCTTGGTAAATAAATCTGTACTTGTTCCTTAGAGGAAACATATGAGAGTGTAATGTTTCCAGCAACATGCTCTTGGCGAACCACATGACAATCCACCTTAATATGTTTGGTACGCTCATGAAATATCGGATTTGTAGAAATAGAGATGACACTCTGATTATCACATTATAAAGTGATAGGGGAAGTAACAACGACATCAAGATCTCGCAGAAGAGTGCATAGCCATTTGAGCTCAAGTGTGGTGTCTGTCAACGCTCTATACTCGGACTCTGTACTAGAACTAGAGACAACGGCTTGACGCTTACTACGCCAAGAGATGAGAGATACACCCAGAAAAATACAAAAGCTAGTAGTGGAATGTCGAGTGTCTGCATCATCAGCCCATCCAGCATCAGAATATGCATGAAGAGACAAAGAAGAGTCTGAAGGAAAAAATAATGATTGGGTTATAGTGCCATAGAAATATCTAAGAACCCAATGAGAGCTGCATAGTGAATGGAAGTCAGACTACTGACAAGTTGGCTCAAGATGTGTACTGCATAGGCGATATCCGAACGTGTTGCTGAAAGATAAACCAATGCTCTGGCAAGTTCCCGATATCGAGTAGGCTGAGGTAGGGGATCACCATCATCATGTTGAAGCTTCAAGTTCATTTCCATCGGTATGGAAAGTGGAGTGGTAGCAATGGAAGGATTACTGAGAGTAGCACGCTCAAGAATGTCTGCAATGTACTTCTGCTGAGAGAGAAGATAGTCACGAGAGGAGGAAGCAACCTCAATACCCAAGAAGTAACGAAGGGATCCAAAATCATTCATCTCAAATTGACTCTGAAGATGTTGCTTTAAGAAAGTAATGGTAGAGGAATCATTCCTAGTGATTATCATATCATCAACATAAAGTAATAGAATGACTGTACCGAAGGCTGAGGAGCATGTTTGAGACCATATATAGCACGACGAAGGCGACAGACATGTCCTGGAGGAGCAGGAAAGCCAGGAGGCGGCTGCATGTACACTGTCTCAGACAGATCACCATTAAGTAAAGCATTTTTAACATCCATTTGATACAAAGGCCAACGTTTTGCAGCTGCAACCGCAATGAGAGTGTGAATGGATGTCATTTTTGCAACAGGAGCACAAGTCTCTTCATAGTCAATAACATACTCTTGTGAGAATCTCCGAGCTACAAGACGAGCTTTGTACCGCTCAACAGAATCGTCAGATCGGGTCTTGACCTTATAAATCCATTTACAGCTTACCGGTTTAACACCGGAAGGCAGAGGAATAAGGCCCCAAGTATTAGTCAGACGAAAAGCCTTCAATTCTTCGGTCATTGCATGTTGTCATTCTGGATACTTGAGTTAGGTTCATGTATAGAGCGAATAACAGCAAGAAAAGAGACAAACTCAGGTGAATATGTGCTAGTGATACATTGAGCATACCGAGCAGGGGGATAACGATCTCGTGGAGGATTTCGGCGAGGGGGAGGAGTCATATTGAGAGAAACTGGCACAAATGTAGAGGGGACATCAGTCGAAGTATCTTGCTGCAAAGGGGATGTAGTGGGCGGATGTCCAGAAGGTGTGCATGAATCAAGAGCATTATCGTTTGGGACCATTGGAGTGAAGGAGGGAGTCGGTTGAGTGGACGAATGTACATGTGCCATTGATACATGTATAGTAGTGGAAGATAATGAAGGGGGTTGAAGAAAGGAGAGATCTGAATCTAAAGTAGTATAATAGAAAATATTCTCAAAGAAGGTCACATGACGGGTAATACAAAGCCTTCGAGTGGTAGGTTCATAACAACGATACCCCTTGTGAACGGTGCTATATAGCCAAGAAAAATACATCGTGTAGTACGTGGAGATAGTTTATCTCATTCATGAGTTGGAAGCAGGACAAAACAGACACATCCAAAAGTACGAAGAAGAATGTAGCAAAATTGAGACTTGAAAAGTTGAAAATATGGAGAGGTGTCAGCTAATACAGAAGATGGAGTAATGTTGATAAGATAAACAACAATCAGAAGTGCTTCTGCCCAGAGATATCGAGGTATAGATGCTAATATCAGAAGTGCTCTAGTAGTATCGAGAATGTGACGATATTTTCTCTCAGCAACACTATTTTGTTCATGAGTGTGTGGACAAGACTGTTGAGAGAGTGTGTCATGTGATCTTAAAATAGATTGCATTGCCGAAGAAATATATTCACAGGTACCATCAAAGCAAAATATATTTATACGTTTATGAAACTGGGTATGAATCATATTTGTAAAGTATTTATAAATATTTAAAATATCATAACGAGCACACATGAGATATACCCAGGTGTAGCGACAATATTCATCAATAAAACTGATATAATATCGATAATCAGACAATAATGGTAATGGGATAGGTCCCCAGATATCAGAATGAATTAAATCAAATGAGGCTAAAATAATTTTTATTGGATGAAAATGATAGGGCAATTTGTTTAGAGAATCGACACCCAGTACAGTTTGATAAAGTAGAGATTTTTAAATTTCCTAATACACCAGATTCAGATAAAAGTTTTAAGCGAGAACCAGAGATATGACCCAAGCGACGGTGCCATAGATCAGAAACAGAGAGCCCGTGACCAATGCTGGATGGAGTGAAAAGATGTAGAGACTCCAACTGATAAAGTCCATTAACTCTACGACCTACCCCAATCTTCTGGCCAGTGTGATCCTAGACAACACAAGATTTAGCATTAAATAAGATAGTGCGAGTAGAATCTGTAATTTCCCCAATGGATAAAAGTTACATAGATAATTTGGGAATATGAAGAACAAATGATAATATTAGACGATCAGAACTATCAAAACTTGGAGTAATATCACTTAACTGAGAAACGACAAGGGGAGTGTCATTAGCAGTATAAATGCATAATGAAGAGGGAGCAGGTGAACAATTTGTAAGAACATGGTTATCTAAAGTCATATGATGAGATGCACCTGAGTCGAATATCCAAGGAGTAGAAGTACCAGAATGAGCTGACAATGCAGTAAAATCTGAGCCGGAGGCCGCATCACTAATCCTAAGATTTTTGGTTATTAATGTAGTAATCTCTGACAGCTGCTCAGAAGAGAGATGACTAGAAGTCTGCGGCCCTTAAGGAGCAGAGCTAACATCACCCGAAGCAGCAAATGGAAATCGAGTCTTCTTGGGTGTCAGACGAGGTGGTCTCTTACGACATTTATCAATAAGATGACACGGCTTCTTACAATAACGACAATAGAGTTGTCGAGAGGAATCATATGTACTGTTAGAAAGACCCCGATAGGAAAAGAACTGCTGAGTAGCTAGAACAGTATGTGATGAGGGTAATGGCCGAGATGCAATAATTGGATGGGAGAGCATCTGAAGGCGTCTCCTCAGATATGAATTCAGCCACGGCTTCACAGAGAGTGGGGAGAGGACTGTGATGAAAAATGTGTCCACATAAGCTTTCGAACTCACAACGAAGGCGCATGACAAAATGATATAACTGTTGATGATCACGTTGTTTTTGAAATGCTATGGCAAAGTCTGGAAGCGTCTCAGGAATATGTTCCTCCATCATCTGCAATTCCTCCCAATAGCCTGATAATAAGGAATAGAAATCTTGAATAGACCGATCACCCTGGCGTGCATCCTAAAGAGCTGGGTGAAGTTGATACTCACGAGCAGCACTAGTCTGAACAAACATGTGATTGAGAGCTAGCCACTGCTCATGAAATGAAGATGCTCGTCCAAGGGAGAGCCAAATAGGAATAGCTACAGAATGCATAATATATGTCATGATCTGTTGATCAGTACGGATCCACTGAGAATAAGTGATCTGAGAATCATCTGTAGTGAAATCACTAGAAGTGACTTCTGATATGGAAGATGTAGATAATGAAGACACAATGATAGTTTTGGATGGACAACGATGAGATCTGTCAATATAACCCCATAGTGCGAAAGTTCTAAGATTATAGTGCATAGTAAGAGACCATGCAGTGTAATTTTTAATATTTGTAAGTTGTACATCAATGGGTGAAAAGGTGTTGGGTCCTTTCTTGTCCATGATTTTTTTTGAAGAAGTTTTTTTAAAGAAGATTTTTTTAGAACATGGGCCTGAAGATGGCCCTGAGATAAGAGAGAGATGAAGCCCTAGAACAGGAGGAGGGAGAGCATATGTGAGAGAGAGCCGCCTCTGATTTTAAAGAAGATTTTTTTAGAACATGGGCCTGAAGATGGCCCTGAGATAAGAGAGAGATGAAGCCCTAGAACAGGAGGAGGGAGAGCATATGTGAGAGAGAGCCGCCTCTGAGAGACTGAGAGAGAGAGAGAGAGAGAGAGAGAGAGAGAGAGAGAGAAGAAAAAAGCGAGAGAGATCACGAGGCGACGAGTGGCGACGACGACCTCGGCCACCAACGGCGGCGACGAGATCTGGCTGGTTGATTGAGAGCGCTTTGGAGTTGAGGATGAAGGATCGTCGTCGGCATGCGAGTAGGAGGGGGGAGGACGAAGA